GGACTTGTTCATAGTAGTTCTTATGCTTATGCTGATGGCTCAGTTTCATTTGTTCCTTAAATATTAGAGTAATATTATTTATCATCATGATAATGGAATATCGGTGATATGTCAACCCATTATCCCTCACATTTCTTTCTCCCTCTCTCCTCCCCCTCTCATAAAAATTGAACTCAAAATCTCATTATTCTACGGAGGCTGTCACATCACCGTGTTCCATCATCATAATGATAAATAGCATTATTCTAAATACTATGTAAATATTGCTTGTATGGGGTAATTCTTCCTCTTTATGCTGATGTCTTTTACTTTAAATACGCTCTTTCTTTGTACTTGCAATGCTTTATGTCAAAGGCTTATTCTTATTTGTGTCTTCGATGCTATGTAAACCTTAGTGTAAGAACTCCATTAGAACAAAGAAACATGTCGGTCCCAAAGACAATTTGTGGTTCGATTTGTAAACAAAACAGAAACGAAAATAGCAAAAATAACAAGATCAACACAAGATTTTTAGGCCTCGAGGTTCGACGATCACTTTTAACGTCTAATCCCCGTTGAACATCCGTAAGGAATACACTCAAATCCACTAGAAACACCCCAAAATAGGCAAAAAAAGGGTTACAAGTATACAGCCCAAAAACTGCAGAAACCCAACAATAACAGCCTTCTCACTCAACAAGAAGCATGAACTCACACAAGAGTTCATAATCACTCTCATATCTCACAAGAAATCACAAAAGATTTGAGAGATCAAATTTTTATAGAGAGAGAGAACAAGAAGTAAAGAGAAAAATTGCTACTGCACACGTCAAATAGAATAATGAAGACGAGAAGTCCAAAGACCTAATTGAAAAGTCTCGTTTATTTGCAGAAATAGTCCTCACACTTTCTTAGTTTTTCAGCTTCTGGAGACTTCTTGCTGTACATTAATTGGGCCAAAGCCAATATTTGGGCCAGACAAAATGGATTGATAAGTGGGCTCCAAATCAGCAAACAACTTCAACAATCTCCACCTTTTGCTGCATTTTGGGATGATACTCGTGTGGATTTAAAGCATAGACCAAAAACTTCATTTTCTCTTTATTACCTGTAAAAAAAACAGAAAGTTA